CAGAATGCACATACCCAAACTATAGAAAAGAAGACAGAAAGAGATAAAGAGAAAATGCCCTCATGCTCTTACTGGCCAAGTGGATGAAGAGGAATTGAAAGATTTCAAAGAATTAATTGTGGGAGAATCTCAGCTTTTCCAGCACCGTGCTTGCATCTTTTATAACCTACACAGGGCATGGTATCTGTGCTGATTCTCACAATAGGATCTTACTTTGTTTGGGCTTTAGACCTTCCCTCCCTTTTTTGATGTATCCATTTTCTTCTCCAGGAAATAAAGCCCTTGTTTACTAGTATCTGTAATTAAATCACGAAAGAGAGGTGTTGAGTTTGTTTGCATTTATCAGTTCTTAATGGCCCAGGTTGATGTTTTAATCTGTATTCTTCAGCTTTCTTTCCTCTTGTTCACCCTCCTCACTGCTTTCCCCATTTTTTTCCTAGTCAGCAAGTAATGGGAGGATATACTTAGAACATGGTAGGATTTAGAGAGAATATAACAGAAGGCTACATATACAGTATGCATTACTCTAGAGACTTTATTGAACACACACACACACACGAACACATAGAATACAAATCATGCACAGTATTGCACATCAAAGTGTTATGGTATATTACTCCTGAGCCTGTACAATTTCACATTTTAAACTCAGTTAAATCATAGCATTATAAAGATTGTAAAAATAAAACAAAATTTTGCTTTTTGCCTTATGCTTTATACCCATTTGCTTGGGAAAAAAGCTCCTTTTAAAGTAATAATGACTAGATAAGAACATGCAATCACATTTACAAGCAAGAAAATGTTTATCAAAATATTAAAGTATGGTATTGAAAGCCATATCAACTTTCTTCACAGCCAGCTCACATGTTAATACCTGGCTTGTTCACACTGTCTTCATCACATAATTTAAATCAGGGTTTTCCAAAATGGTCAAGATTGACCCCCAAGGGACAACGAGACTATTCAAATAATCATTTACTATTTGTACTATATCTTTTACATTATTTTCATATAAAATATTTGGGGGGCAGTCTGAAACATATTGAAGAAACTGATGAGCTGAAAAGTTTGAAGACCTCTGCTTTAAACCCTCGAAGTTTTATAGATAAGGAACTTGATTCTGCTTCATTCTGTAGTAGTTTTGTTACTGTTATTTTATTGCTCTGACAATAAAAGCAACTTATTTAGACCAAGCCCTTAATTCTGCTGCTATTACTGAATACAATTTAAGTTTCTAGAGATTTATCACTGAGCCCTGGTTGATATTCAGGCACTTCTGGGCTATGCAAATTGGACTTCAGTCCAAGACTCAACCCATCTATACACCCCTGTACAAAGGAATCAAGAGAATATTTTTGATTTTACCCAATTTAAGATTCAGATATCATCTTCAGCAATGCAGGTTAGCAGGAAAAAAAAAGTGGGAATCATTTGTAAAAGCTAAGTGGCTAGTGGATAAAGGTAATGGATGAAATTGCCTTCAGCAGAGAAAGATGTTTAGTGGTCAAGATTAACAATTTGTGACTCTGCAGTCATATAGTATTATAACTGTGCAAGTTATTTAACTTCTCATAAATAGATTAACACAATCTAATCATACTTCACAAACTGTTAATATACATAACTAATGAGGAAGCATGAAATTCTGACTCTGTAAAATCAGTGCTCATTTTTTTTTGTTTTTAATGTATGTAAACTTTGCCCTTCTATTTTTTTTCCCTTATAAACAGTTACCATAAAAATGTGAACTGCCTAGGGAAGCTTCAACCTGTAAATCTGTATATTGCTAACCTAAAACAAAGCAGGTTTATAAAATCTGACCCCTGGATGAATGTTATTGTATTGTTTGTTTTGTTAATGTTATATTGTGTTTTTATTGTTAGCCGTCCAGAGTCCTGCGGGAGTGGGGCGGTCTATAAATTTTAATAAATAAATAAATAAATAAATAAATAAATATCTTGGATCTACCAAGAAACCACACTGTGGTCTTAGAATTTGCCACTTGTTGCAATAATCCTATATTTTTTGCCCCTCAAAAATATTCTCACTAATATTGAGTTCTTTGCTGCACCCTTCAGTCTGTTGACTATATATTCAACAGAACTCACAGGGAAATTGAAAATCATACATTTCTAGGATCTCTACTGGTTTAATAATGAAATTCCCTTGTATATCAGATGATCTTACTCTGCTCAAATCTCAGCACTGGAATTAGACACAGTTGTTGAAAATAAATCCATTCTTACATTTACAGGCAAAAATGTTTTATTACTACTGTGAATGATAAATAGCTGTGATGTTCTGCAGCTGCTGAAGTATGTGAATCACTGTCAAAGATTAAAATTAGATCTCAGGCTGAGTAGGATCAGAAGGGATTAGTAGTATTTGAAATATGGAATTATGTCATAATTGGGTAAACACAAAAACATACAAAAAACTTTCTTCTGCAAACATTATCCACATGATAATATCTGGAATAAACAACTAAAAAGTCTTCTAGAAAAATACTGAATTACAGCAGTATAACTTTATAGTTATCACTACAATGAAGATGTACCTTTTTTATCTCTAATGAAATACACATTTGGCATTTATACTAAATTTAAAGAGAGGAATTCTGGACTAATATAGTCCTGTGTATACGATAACATTAAGTACTGCAATGATCAAAATATTATAATGTGAAGCTACCATTCGATTAATCGTTATACATTTTTCTTGACATGCATTTAGCATGGAAAACTATATAAAGTACACAAAACTCTCAGCAATGCAAATAATTAAATAATGTATCATCTGGGCACCAATCTTGAGTCTGAAATTAAAGTTCTTGGTAGAGAAATTGTTATTCCATCTTAGAACTATGCTATACTTGTATTATTTAGAACTGGAGGATATTTCAGAGAACACCTAGTGTTGAGTTATTCTCAACATAGCATATAATTACATCAACCCTAAAAACAGTAATTTTCAGTATGAAAAAGTTGTATTGGAATACAGAAAAGCAGAAAAAAAGCACTTTTCTGGAGCTCTTTAAAGGGCTCACGTCTTTGAAGTATATTTTTGAATCAAATCCAAAATGTTGCACAGTTGAAATAACCTATTTAAATACTTACAGTTCATGACTCAGTGTAAGGCAGGTATGTCAAATTCAATTTCATTGAGGGCCGCATCAGCATTGCGGTTGCCCTCGGAGGGCCGAGTGGGTGTGGCTACGGTGGGTGTGGCCTACTGTGTGGGCATGACCAGCTCAAGATCGTTCGCGTCAAGGGGGCCTGTGGGGGCCTGGGCAGGAGTGGGACAGATCTGAGGGTCTCTGGCAGAAGGGGGTGGGACTGGGGCAAGTGCCAAGGCATAGTCCATTTCTTCATTCCTCACAAAGGGTGACACCTCCCCAGCATGCATCCAGGGGGTGGGGCTGAGGCAGCAGGGGCTGGTTCCTCATTGTTTCTAGATGGCCTTGTGGAACTAAGACTGAATGCGTTTCAGCATAGATGGCCACCACAAAATTGTACATTGGCTCCCAGCCAGCCTGGGCCAGGGCCAAGTCAGTGGGGGCCGTTCCCTCACTGTTTCCAGGATGGCTTCGTGGGCCACATGAAACCACTTCGCAGGCTGCATCTGGCCCCTGGGCCTTGTGTTTGACATGTCTGGTGTAAGGTTGGTCTCACAGTTAGTATCATATCACTGGCATGGCCCAGATGTTGATGGTTTTGATGTTTTTCCACTGTTCAGATTTCTCTTTAGCCATTTTCTAACTCTTTGGATGTAACCCAAAGTTGGATTAAACACATTTTTAACTTGTTCATGCTTGTTGCTCATTATTATTATTATAGTTCATTGGACAATCAGCCATATGTTTAGACTAGGTTTGGCATTTCTGTCTACCTATCAAGTCCTTTCCAAGGGCCTGGGGTAGGCAATACTCATTCATTCATTCATTCAATCAATTTCTATAACCACCCAATTCAACCAAGTAACTCTGGGTTACAATTTTAAAATTATAATACAATTTAAAAACATTAAAAGGGTTCACAAAATAAATAAGTACAGAGAGTAGCTATGATGATTAATCAGCTAACAATAAAGCCAAGTAACAGGACCCTCAATGCCACATTTTTAATATGTCAGTTGTGGCAGTTGTGATTTATGGAAGTTGAACTCCCAACATTTCTGAAGATCATCAGATTGGGGACATCTGCTTTAGAGAAATCATATCTGCATATAAGTAGCTGCTGAACTCAATAGACTGGATGGTAATATACATAAAAGTAAATACAACAAGGTGATTCACTACTTTTTTTATTAAAGAATTTTGCCAAATGTGTTTTTGATCCCCAGTTTTGACAATTAAACGCTAAAGTCACAAAATAAATCCATGGTGGTTTACTGCAACCAGAAGAGAAATGTTCCAGACAGGACTTTATATTATACAGAATTCATATATTCTGTAAGCCAAGAATTTTGATTGTGTTTTACGTAACAAGCTTTGTGGCCTGCTTCATTTGCAAATCTGAACCATAATAGATTGTATAGTTCAAACACTGCACAAAATCAAAATCAAATTAGTCACATTACGGTATATGTGAATCCAGCCGTAATTGGTAGCATGAGCATCCATGGAGGAGGGGAAGGGGGGGGGCAAATGACACAATCAAACAAATGATGTTTTGTATCCTATCTACTTGTGTTAGATGCCATGATGCAAATGCATAATTGTATCACTGTATCATTTTTATGACATCACAATGTCTTCTAACAGATACCTAAAATTGGTATATAAATTCTATTTAAGCAATAATACAATATGACCTAAAGGTTAGACCCATGCCAGGTTTATAGATTTTGCTAAACTATTTATTTTTATATACAAACTAGCTACCACGCTTTGCAAAGGATGGTTTATAACACAGCACGTGAACCCAGCGAACTGCAACCTATTCTATAACCCAACAGTAACCAAGCCATGGCTTCGAGAATCTATGAACTAAGAGACGAGGCCGAAAGGCGCACTGTCTGAGGCAAAACGCTCCCATGAGCTCCAAAAGGGCTGGCCTCCGAGGTGAGCCAGTCCCAGGAAGAGACAGGATAGCCTGCTTGCTTTCTGCTCCAGTAGCGGCAGTGCCGTAACTCGGTCACTAAGTGGCGCCAGATTTCGACGCTTCACGCCGAGCTCGTCGGAAACTCGCACTCTCTCTCTCACACACACACACACACACACAAACACACACACAACCCAAACCCAACACCTCGACAAGCACGCACAAAGCAGCTGGGCGAAGCTTTATAGCGGGCTTCCCGGTGTTTTTACTCCGAGCCAAGCCGGAGAGAGGGGGGGGGGGCAACTCGAGGCGGACGGAAAGAGCGACGCAGCTCCTGACAGCGAAGCATTTCGGCTGAAGGTGAGTAGAACTAGAGCATCCCGGCTGGAAAACTTGCAGGTGGCTTCACTGGCGGAGGGACATCGCGCTCCCGCCCGCCCGCCCCGGTTTTGATCACGTTCTCACCGGCGGAGGGGCGGCTGCTGCGAGCTTTTGGCGGGGAGGACAGGGCGGGATTGGGAGGAGAAAGAAATCCCCACCTGGTCGCCTCAAACTTTGCCGAGAATCCCACCGCCGGTGGCCTCTCTGCGGCTGCTGCTTGTTTGTTTGGCAGTTCGGTTCCAACCGCTCGGTGGCCCTCGGCGCTCTGCACAACGGGGAAGCAGGTGTGAGAGGCAGCCCCGTTCCCCAACGTACCTGACTAGCCCACGTTGTCCCTCCTATTGTTACTCTCCCCGCTGGGTTTTTGAACACTTGTTTGTTTGGTTTTTTTTTTTTAAGTGCCTGACCGAGCCGGGGGAGGGAGGGATATTCGTCTTCCCTTCTCCGCATCCTTCCACTCTTTCTTTCTTCCCATTTGGCCAGATGTACAGGATATTAGCCGTAGCGCTTTGGTGTTTTCTGCAAGCAGAGGGCAGGCATCCAGAGATCACCCTTCGTAGCAGCAACAATGGCAATTTTTTGGACAATGACAAATGGCTGAGCACCGTTTCCCAATATGACAAAGATAAATACTGGAACAAATTCAGAGATGTAAGTTGAATTCCTATGCATGTAGGTACAGTATGTGTATTGCTCAAAAAAGGTATCCTGGGATTTTTTTTTTCTCTGCAAGGGACTCTTCAGTGGACAGGACATGGCTACATCTGTTGTAGCTGCTACCGTAGTGTTGGAAGGAGGTCCTTTAAAAATCCCCTGGGTTTTATTTATTTATTTACTGTGTGCGTGTGTGTGTGTGTGTGTGTGTGTGTGTGTGTGTGTGTGCACGTGCGTGTACATGTACGCACATGCGTGCTTTGGTATGCTTTCAGATAAGTGGTTAGTTTTCTTGGTCTTACGTTTTTATTTAAGACTTCCAGGAACTTTGCTGGTTTGCAAAATTGATCACTGTGAAATCCTGACAGTTACATACAGAACTATTTATTAACCGAACCCCCATCTTGGTGAAGCTTTGTATTGCTGTGGGTGGTAGGGAGATCAGAAGCATGCTGTTCTGAGCAGTTGTGTGAAAGGGTTTGTATTTTTTCTTTTCTTTTTTTTCAAATTAGATATGATCATAATTCAGGGACACTTTCAGATGCATCTTTATAGGTTATGTTGTGAAACAGCATATTGTTTTGTGGCAGGGCAGCAAAATATATTCTAAGTGAAACTTTGGGAAAACTGAAGATATTTGTGTTATTTATCAGCCAGGGAGGAGAATGAAATGGGATGTGTTTTGTCTGTGTTGACATCAGTTAATAACAGTTTGATCTTAACCACTTGTAATTCCCTAGAAGAGTCAAGTTCATAATATTATGTAACTACCATAGGTGAGATGGTTCATCAGATGAATCATAGGATAGTAGTTCAGTTAACTTGTTCACCACAGAGTGTTCTGACAACAATAAGGTCTGCATAGGATTGCAATAGTTAGGTGTTCCACTTATTTGTATCATATAAGATCTTGTGTGGTGGCACAGTCAAAATGTTAAAATGAAGTCAACTTTTCTAGTTCCACTTTTTAAAGTCTGTAAATTACCATATTATTTTCCAATTGAATTGAGCTATAATTCAATCTCCCTTGGTCACATTTTTTCAGGTTTGGTATATATTAAATATATGATGAATTTCAAGATGTATTAGGGATAAAAGTATCAAGTGCAGTCTATAAAGTCAGAATAAGTGCTCTTATTGTAAAATCCATGAAGTATAAATTGAAGCCTTAATCTTTGAGCAAAACTGAATTTAGAAATACTATAGAAAGTGATTTGTCAAAGATGTCCATCTTTGAAATAATCTCATTAAGTTGAAACAAACAATCAGAAATGTTACTTTTGAAAGTTACAAAAGAGCCATTGATCAAATCTCATATAAAAAATTTCAGTGATACAATTCTGTTTAGTCATAAATAAATAAAATAATCTGGAAAACAAATATAGACAGAAAGTCAACAAGAAGTCAACCTATTTCAGGGGTAGATTCAATACATTTCAATCTTTTAAAGCTTTTATCAGGATGCAGACATGCTGAGGTAAATATGGAGAAGGTACAAATAAAACTTTCCACTACTATATTATTTTTCAGTAATCAATTCATAATTTCTCTTTTCATGAATGCTTATCTGTAGCCTAAACAACTCTAAGAAACAGCTTCGGTTTTCTTCTTCTTTGCAAATCCTTCTGTATTTTTCCAGTTCCAGACCAAAAAGTAAACCTGCATGAGGTTAATTGGTAAAATAAAATTCTGAGATTGTTTCATAAGCCTGCTTTGCCATCTGTGTAAACCAACCAGACACTATAAATTTGAGAGAGAGGCTTCCAGATTGCAGTGGCAGAGATTGCCTTTCTGAAATGGTACCAAGGAAAGATGCATTTCAAAGCATATTTAAAAATGGGTGTCATATAAGCCACTCTATTTCTTTCAGTAAAACAGTCTGCACAGTTTATTATTCATATGAAGAATATGCTAATATGCTGAACAGTGCTTACTGTTTGCCGTAGTCTCAACTGCTTCTTCTGTAATGGACAGCACACTGGCAAGGCTGCTATTATTTTTCTTGTGGTTGCAGAAGCAATTTTTCTTTTAGGGTTGGAAAGAATAGCAGAGACATCATCTCCTGGAAAATGTAATGACTTCTGGCCAGTTAAAATGAACAATAGTTTGAGCAACACCAACTCATTTCACTGGGGCTTATGTACCAAATATTCTTACAGCATGATAAATGACATTTTACCTCAACTGTAGAATGACATGGAAAATTTGAGCTTAGACATGTTCTTTTGAATACAAATATTCTTTGAGTTACAATAATTCATTTAGTGTCTGTTCAAAGTTATAACTGCACTGTAAAAAGTGATTTACAACCCAGTCCTCACACTTACGACTGCTGCAGCATCCTCACAGTCATGTGATCAAAAGTTGGACACTTGGAAGAGGGCATCCAGCATCTTGGGGTCATGTGATTGCCATTTGCAACTTTCCTAGCTAGCTTCTGACAAGCAAAGTCAGTGGGGGAAGCTGGATTTATTTAATGACTATTTGATTCACTTAACTACAGTGTTTTGCTTAGCAATCATGGCAAAAAAAGATGTAAAATTGGACATGATTCACTTAACAATTGCTTTGCTTAATAGCGGAAATTCTGGTCCCAGTTGTACTAGTAAGTTGAGGACTACCTGTATTCTTGTTTGAACATGAAACATGTCAAAGATACAAAGCAAACCAAGATGGGAGCAGTCCCTTTTGTTTTAGGAATAACAGAATGTTTGGCTAAGCTGTTGTCAGCCCTTTGAGGTAAAGGATATACGGCTTCTAAGTCTCTTGGAAAATACTTGAGTGTGGTTGAGGTGCTGTAACAGAATGTTGAAAGCCTGTCAAAGCTACTCTCTATTTCAATTTGCACCTAATCCAATCAAGATAGAGTTGTTTGGAATTCATTTCTCATGCTTTCTAATTTCCCAGGTCTGAGGTATCCTTTTTTTTTTTTTTTGCTGACATTCCATCACACTTGTGTGTTTTCACTTAGTCATGTGAATCATCATTGATATTAAAAGTTAAAATCTCATTAAGTGAAATTCACCCCTGGTGACCACCTGAACAAGTAGTTTTCCATTGCTTTCAGAATATTTTTTTGACCTCCCAGATTAGTTTTTCTCCCTTGCATTTCACAATGTTCTGCTCTCCAATTGTTAAGTAGATCTGATTTTACTTAGCTTTTTTTGAAGTAAGGTAGTGCCAAAAGACAGAGAAACAACCTTTCTCTGGTTTCAGTGGAATGTGGCTTCCTATTGGAAGTAACCCTTACACAGCTATTCCAATATCTGTACAATGCTGTAGTCTTTTGCTGTGACTTTCCTGTGTCTTAGTGAAAATAGTTGTAAGAGTTTAGATCTCTGGAATGAGTTCCAATAATCCAGCTTTTTTATAAGTTGAAGTATTTATAATGTCAAACAAAGGGAAAATACTTTGGCTTTTGGTGAATTGTCAAATAAAATGTGCAAGTTCATCCTTTACATGGAAGAGATAAGCCTTTAAAGATGGATAGAGGTAAATGGAAAATTGCATCTTGACATTGAAATCCTGAGCCAGCGGTCAAAATACTCTGTTGGAAAAATTCTAAAATAAAATGAAAAGCATGTTGCTAAAAGCATGTATTTCATCCAGAACTATCTACCACTGAACAAAAAGGGGGCTGCAGTGTCCAACCCATATACAAAAGGGCTTTGATTCATGGCAGGGTCCTCCATTCACCACCGCATCCCATTGTAGATATTTTTGTTTTTGGTATGTGGAAGTCCACAGGCCAATCTGGATCTCGCCTCTCATGTGCTGCAGTTATTTGTAGGAGGGAAGGTGGAGCTTTATTTAGTATCCCAAAGTTAGTAACAGGCTGCCTCAACCCAGCCATTGTTTCTATCCCATGAAACCTCAGAAGTACCCCTCCAGTGTCCTTATTGTTGCCATTTTTGCAGTTAACAATGCTCCCCGTGAATCGCTCAATGTTCTCTCTTGAACAAAGGGAATCTACAAAGCCAGTTTACAGCCAGTCTTCAGCATTGCCTTGCTGCATTTGTTTTCATAGTGAGGGAGAAAAAAAAAATCTCTGATCGATCCAATTTAAAGAAACATGGTGAAATAGGGAAACAGGCAATTTAACTTTTGTAAAGAGGAAAGTGAACTGCTCAGAATAAAAATGACTGGGATATAGTGGCATGGCACTCTTTATTTAATAAACTTATGCCATCTAGTTCTCAAGTTACCTTGACTTTAGCTGGACTGGAGAAGAATCAAGTAGAATGAAGACAAAAGTTTTTGACTATGAGAATCTACATCCTGCACAGTCCAGCTACACTCTCTGAAGGAGATGGGTGGCTTAGAAATAGGAAATATAAATAAGTTTTTGTAGGGATATATTTATCTCCAACTTTCTTCTGTTCATAGGATTCCCCCCTTTCTTATACTGTTCATAGGATTCCCCCCTTTCTTTTCTTTTTCTTAAAAGAGACATGTTGAGTAATTGGGCTGAGAGAAAGTAGCTGACCCAAAGGCACTCAGTGAGTTTCATAATCGAGAGTCGATTTGAACTCTTTAATGCCATAAACACCCTTCCACACTGGTCTCTGTACTTGAAGCCTATTTTCTGTGTCACGGCAGAGTCAAAAGGTAATCAGCTGAACTGGAAAGCTCCAAGCACTGTAGAAAAATAGCTGCACAAGTGTTTTCCACTAGAAGAAGGGGCTCATGAAGCCATCCTAGAAACCTCTAAAAACAGAGAATAGTGCTTTTATTCAACACAATTTGATGATATGTTTTGTAAAAACAGAAATGCTCCTTCCATCTGTGTGGCTTGGGTAATCCAGCAGAGAGCATTTGCACTATGGATCAAAGAAAAGAGAAGCTTTGATCTGTTCCTTCTGCAAGTCCTCTTTCTTCTTCCCTCCCCCTTGCTAGGAAAAAAAAAATTACTGGTATATCAACTAGAACAAGATGGGATATAGTATTTGAGGTTAAAAGAAGAGAGAATTGGCTAAGATGGTTTTCCATCTCTTATA